GGGGAAATTTTGGGGGGTTTTTGGGGTTCTAGAGGGAAATTTGGGGGTCCCAGAGGAGATTTTGGGCGAATTCAGGGGGGTTTGGGGGTCCCAGAGGGGATTTTTGGGGTCCCAGAGGGGAATTTGGGGGAATTCAGGGGTGGTTTTGGGGGTCCTAGAGGGGAATTTGGGGGTCCCAGGGGGGAATTTGGGGGAATCCGGGGGGTTTGGGGGTCCCAGGGAGGTTTTGAGGGTCCCAGAGGGGAATTGGGAAGAATCCAGCGAGATTTTGGGGTCCCAGAGGGGAATTTGGGGAAATTTTGGGGGGTTTTGGGGTCCTAGAGGGAAATTTGGGGGAATTCAGGGGAATTTTAGGGGTTCCAGAGGGAAATTTGGGGGAATTCAGGGGGTTTTGGGGGTCTCAAAGGAGATTTTGGGGGTCCCAGAGGGAAATTTGGGGGAATCCAGGGGAATTTGGGGGTCCCAGAGGGGAATTTGGGGGAATTCAGGGGAATTTGGGGGTCCCAGAGGAGAATTTGGGGGAATTTAGGGGAATTTGGGGCTCCCAGAGGTGAATTTGGGGGAATTTAAGGGGATTTTGGGGTCCCAGAGGCGAATTTGGGGGAATTTAAGGGGATTTTGGGGTCCCAGAGGCGAATTTGGGGGAATTTAAGGGGATTTTGGGGGTTCCAGAGGGGAATTTGGGGGAATTTAAGGGTTTGGGGATTTTGGGGCGGTTTTAGGGGATTTTGGGGTCTCTGGGTGGATTTTGGGGCAGATTTAGGGGATTTTGGGGTGGATTTTGGGGATTTTGGGGCAGATTTAGGGGATTTTGGGGTGGATTTTGGGGATTTTGGGGCAGTTTTAGGGGATTTTGGGTTCTCTGGATGGATTTTGGGGCAGATTTAAGGGATTTTGGGGTGGATTTTGGGTATTTTGGGGCGGTTTTAGGGGATTTTGGGGTCTCTGGGTGGATTTTGGGGAATTTGGGGGAATTTAAGGGGATTTTGGGGTCCCAGAGGCGAATTTGGGGGAATTTAAGGGGATTTTGGGGTCCCAGAGGCGAATTTGGGGGAATTCAGGGGAATTTGGGGGTCCCAGAGGCGAATTTGGGGGAATTTAAGGGGATTTTGGGGGTCCCAGAGGCGAATTCGGGGGAATTCAGGGGAATTTGGGGGAATTTAGGAGGTTTTCAGCGTCCCAGAGGCGATTTTTGGGGTCACAGGGGGGAATTTGGGGTCCCAGAGGGGATTTTGGGGGTCTCCGATGGGATTTGGGGGCTTTCATAGGAGATTTTTGGGGGTCCCAGGGGATTCTGGGGGTCCCAGAGGGGATTTGGGGATAATTTGAGGGATTTTGGGGGTCCCAGAGGGGATTTTGGGATAATTTGAGGGATTTTGGGGGTCCCAGAGGGGATTTGGGGATAATTTGGGGGATTTTGGGGGGTCTCAAAGGGAATTTCGGGGGTCGCGGGGGGCGTGGCCGGCGCTTTGTGGGCGTGGCCTCAGGGGCAGCGGGTGACACGTGCCCAAGGGGGCGTGGCCAACGGAATGAGCGGGACATTCTGTCCCTGAGTGGGCGTGGCCTATCCGGAGGCGTGACCGTGCCCAGGTGAGGGGGCGTGGCCAGGAGCAGACCACGCCCACAAATGAGGGTGTGTGCTCCAGGGGCGTGGCTAGGAAGTGGGCGTGGCCTATTAAAAGCGTGTGGCATAAGGGGGCTGCATCCAAAAGTGGGCGTGGTCCCCAAAAGGGGGCGTGTCCCACCGGCGGGGGCGTTCCAACCGGGTATTCTAATGAGGGGCGTGGTCCTGAGGGGGGCGTGGCTCTCCCTGAAGGGGCGTGTGCACAAGGGGGCGTGTCCCGTGCCGGCATTTCGGGGCGGGGGGCGTGTCCCTGGGGGG